TTTAACCAATGAATTCATTTGAAGCCTATCAATACTTAAATTTACTTCAATCTCTTAATATTAAACTTCCACAACTAGATCAATTCCATTATTCTTTAAATGATGCATATACATTAAAATGTATAAAATTGATCACCAGATATCATGCAAATGACTCTAGTCAACTTATTCAACTCTTAAAATCAGACCAAATTATTGTAAGAGAATCTGCACTACTTCGATGTGAAGAGAATCCTAAAGGAGTAGACCCTCAACAATTCTTTGAATCAACACGTACATTATTATTTAAAGAAGCGCCACACGTATTCCATGTTCTAAAGGCAATGATTTCTGTAATAGATTATAACCAAAATATACCAATAAATCAATACATTAAAAATACATCTCAATTAATTAATCAACTCCATACACTTATTGAAAAAGAACCTTTACTTCATTCACTTTGTACAAGTATTCTTTTAAGACTTAATTGTGTTGACTGTTCACAAATTGATTCTATTTCATTAAATGAACATGAAATGCAATATTATTTCAAACACTTTTCAATAGACCAATCAGTGTTATCAATTATATCTCTTATATTAGAAGACACAGAAAAAGGTATTTGTATTACAAATGCTTTCAATAATGCATTCTTAACATCATATGATCCATATCATCTTCTTTATTATCTTTTAAATTTATTTATCTCTTCTTACTCAGACAACTGTAATAAAATGTCAATGACTGAACTATGTAATATTCTTTTTAATCCTTCTATCTTTAGTTATTTAAATGAAATAACTCATACAACACAAATTTTTGAACCTGAATTACCTTCGTTTAATTATGATAGAATTGAACTAATTAAATATCTTTACAGTAATCTCTCAACATCAAAAGAATTATCTACTTATATTAAAGAAGTAAAAAATAAGTCATTAATTATTAAAGACAGTGTAGAGATAGTAAATCAATTAATTAAAACCTTCCAAAAAGAATTGAATTAAAAGAAGTCATTTTTTTTATAAAATTTATTTTTTATTAAAATTTTTTTTTATTGTTTTTGTTTTAATTGAATAATTTCAGAATGAAGTTGATCAACTTCTTGTTGTAAATGAATATTTTGAGTAACAACATCTTGTAAAACATTTTGTAATTGTTCAACAACTTCTTTAACTCCTTTTTTTCCAATACTTTTTCCAAAGACACTTTTTAAATATTTATTGATAGTTTCACTTTTCCAAATTTGTAATTCTTGTTCTTTTAATACAATACTCTTTTCTAATGTTTCAATATCTTCTAAATATTTTGACTTTTCCAATTGTAATTCTCCAATTTTATCTCCCAATAATTTGACTTGTTCTTCACCAATAAAATTTGTTGATTTCTTTTTCATTGGTGAAGTAAATGATTCTATTTGATTAATTCTTTTTTTCTGATCTTCTTTTTCTTTTTTATTTCTTTCTTCTGCAGCTCTTGCTGCAGTAAGAAGCACAGAGTATTTATTATTCATTTCAGTTATTTCACTTATTTCTTTTTTAGCCTTTTCTAATTCATTTTGTAATTTAGTAAGTTCTAATTGTAATTTTCCAAGACTTGCATTTTTATTATTTTTCATTTCATAAATTCTTTGTTGCATAATTTCTTCACTTTGTCTCATTTTCATTTTTAAATTTTCAATTTCGTCTTCTTTTTCTTTAACGTTTTCTTCTTGTATTTTTATATTTTTCTTTTGTTCTTCAATTTCATCTTCATATTTCTTTTTTTCATCTTCTTGTTGTTCTTTTATCTCTTTTATTTCTTTTTTTAATTCTTCAATAACTTCATTTAATTGACCCTTTTCTTTTTCACTTTTTTTTTCTTCATTTTTATTTTGTTTCATTTGTTGAATGATTTCTTTTTTCTCTTTTTCATATTGTTCTCGTTGAACCATAACTTCATCTAATTTATTTTGTAATTCTCTAATTTTTAATTTATTTTCTTCATTACTTCCTTTAAGAAAATCATTTTCACATTGAAGTTCTTCAAATCTCATTTCTAAATTACAATTTGTAGTTTTGATTTCATTCATTTCATTTTCTATATTCGTTGACATTTTCTTTCCTGTTTCTAATTCTTCAATGTATGTTTTTAATTCACTTATTTCATTGGTCATATCACTTACTTTAACTTGTAATTCAACTTTTGCATTATTTATTGCTGCATTATCTTTCTGTAATTGTGCTCTTTCTTTTTCTAATGTTTCTGTTGATTTTTCTAATAAACCTCTTAATGTAACTTCTTTTTGTTTTAATTCTTCATTTTCATTTTTCCATTCTTCTTCAACTTGACTTCTAATATTTTTTTCTGTTTCTTCTTTAATTTGTTGAACTTTATTATCAAAATTTATTTTAAATGTTTCTTCTTTTTCTTTTAATGTTTTTTCAAGTTTTTCATTTGCTTCTTTATAATACTTTTCTTTTTCTGTACTTGCTTGAATATTTTGTTGCATTTCTTCATATTTTTCTTTTTCTATAAATACTTTCCCAACTCGTTCATTCTCTAATTTGACTATTCGTTCCATTAATTCAGAGACCTTTGATTGTTCATTTATTTCATTACTTCCACACTCTATTATTTTTATTAATTCATCTCTAATTTCTTTTATTAATTCTGGTATTATTATTTTTAGATTTTGTATCATTGTTGCTGCTTCTGAACTTATTTCTCCTGATAATGGATCTTTATTATTTTTTTTAACTTCTTCAAGTGATTTCTTTGTTATACTTTCTTTTGTTTCTTCAATTCTTTTTTCTAAATTGTTTTTTACTGCATCCCAATTCACTCCTGATCTACTTAAACTTTTTTGAAGATCATCTATTAATTGGTTTTTCTTTTTAATTTCTTCTTCTAATTGATTGTTTTGCTCTAACATCATTTTTGTATTCTCTTTCATTGTATCAACTTTTGTACGGTATTCTTCAGCCATTTGTTCTTGTACTTCATTAATTAATTGTAAACGTTCAGCCTCTTGTTGTGCTTCATCTTTCTTTCCAAAAAATGAAGTTTTTTTCCCCTTTTTTAAGGCAGCAATTTGTTCGTTATATTTCTTTTCTTTTTCTGCCCATTCCTTCTTCTCTTTCTCAAATCTCTCCCTTTCTTTATCTATCTTCTTGTCCATTTAACTTGTTCTTTTTAAAAGTAGATTCCTCATTTTTTTCAAGTTCTTTTGCCCTTTTATTGTTACTTCTAATAACACTTTTATTATTTGTTATATAAAACTTTCATAATTTTTTTTGTTTTTAAAGAGAATAATTATAGAAATAGATTTTTTATTTTTAGATAAAGAATGAGTATTTAAAAAATAAATTTAAATAAAATGAATGGAAAATCTGATGACATAAAAATAAAAATAGAAGAATTCAAATCAAGAAAAAAAACATAAACATATGAAAAATAAAAAAGAAATATTTCAAATAAAAAACTTTGAAAATAAAGAAATAACAAAAATAAAAAGAAATGTAAAAAAAAAAGGAATGGTATTTGATGATTTTTGAGAATAAAAGAAAGTTTGTAAATAAAAGAGAAGTTAAAAAAAGAAAAAAGAAAAAGGAAGAAACGGAAACTCTTTTTAATTCATATGAACTTCTGTATTTTCAATATAGAAAACGTTAGTAGTTTATATAATGAGGATTACTTTCCTAATAGAAGAAGTCACATTATTGAGCTCATTCATGAAATATTAAAAACGAATTATTTTAATTATTATGCTGTAGTTTTATCAGATAAATTTTCATCAATGCATATTGCCCCAACTAAAGACTTTAGCGCAATTGACTCTTTATATAATCTTAAACCAAATTCAGAACATCCTCACCATTTGCGTTGTTTAAGAAAATCATTATTCATTTCAAAACAACAACATTACCACTCAGTCCATATTGTTTCATTTATTACTTCTGAAGAAGCTTTATCTGACGTAGTTTTAAGACAAACAGAACTTCAAACATTACGTAGTTATCATGTTCAATTTGTTTTATTAGGGGATG